CAGTGCTTATTAGTTATGTGTGTTTTCGCTGTAAACAACACGCTAATGTTCTATTCTTCTTATTCTTCTCCTCCTCCAGCTTCTACGCCATCTACTACCCACTGTCGAAGAAGTGCAGCACTGCGCTCTGCTGGACGACGATCTTTCTCATCTGGATGTGGAGCTTCGCCATCAGCTTTCCCTGGCTGGTCTACTTTGAGGTGATTCCCGTCGAGGGCGTCGGCGACTACGACCTCGCTGACCAGGCGGAGACCTTTCAGGTAAGAAGGGAAAGGAAAGAAGATATTCTGTTTCCAGAGTTATCAGCTAGATTAGACGGTTTTATGTTGTTGTTGTTGTTGTTGTTGCCTTCTGCTGTCCACCACTTGCTTGTTTGCTTTAGAGGAACATTCCAGAGCTATCTTTCTCTTTCTTTTCTCTCTGTCAGCCCAAACATTACCAATGAAATATTGAATGGTATTGCTTTTATATTAGAGAGGACAAACATCATCATCACAGCTTTGTGTGTGTGTTTGTGTTCTTCTCACATGACCGAGCTTTGAAGTGCAAATGAGGACAACTGCAGCAGCAGCAGCAGCAGCAGCAGTGACCCAGAGCGCAGAGGCCACACAAAGGCTGGCCAATTACTGTGGACGGACTTCTCTGACTCCCTTTCATAGCTAGCCATTATGACGCGAGAACTCGGTGCGATTCGGGGCGAGGAATTACTACTAACGACAGGCCAACTGACAGATGCTTTGCCAAAGTTTCAGTCAGTCAGTGGCAGTCAGTCAGTCAGCAGGGCATTATCGCATATTGTGGCGCTCTGTAATTCTATATTCCGTCCACTCGCTTGCCCTAATTCTCTCTCTCTCTCTCTCTCTCCTCTATTGAGTTTCACTTTAGCTCGCGACGATTCTTCTGCTGTGTTTGCTGGGGCTTCCCCTTCTTCCCCTTCTTCCCTTCTTCCTCTCTGAATGCCACAGCGGAAATGACTTGGCATCGGCGACACGCTTTACGTGCCTTCAACCGCCTGGCCTCATATAACTTCTAATAATTGAGGGCCCCTAATACTAATTCATTAGTTGTTGTTGTGCGCCGTGATTGAGCAGTAGTGCAAAGTTGACTGCTGGTGCGCTTGCCTTTCACCCCCGATCCCCTTCTCCTTCTCCTTCTCCTTCTTCTTCTCGTTGGGCTACTCGAGACTTTTAGCATTATTATATCTCGGGTTGCCGCCTCGTGTTTGACAGTGAGCAGCGGCAGTGAAATCAGCCTGCACTCGTTTGATTGCTCCTACTGCTGCTGCCATTTATTAATGTCAGGGTCGAAACGGGTACTCTTGGAAATACGAGGACGGGGGAGGATGNTTAGCATTATTATATCTCGGGTTGCCGCCTCGTGTTTGACAGTGAGCAGCGGCAGTGAAATCAGCCTGCACTCGTTTGATTGCTCCTACTGCTGCTGCCATTTATTAATGTCAGGGTCGAAACGGGTACTCTTGGAAATACGAGGACGGGGGAGGATGAGGACGATGATGTTGAAGACGTTGTTCGCCTGCTAACGATGAGCAGCTTCCTTGTAGGCCTCCTTTCTTTACTTTCGTTTCTTTCCAGTTCTTTGCAATTTCTTGCTTGCCTGCCTGTTTGTCCAAGCAAAGACTTCTCGAAGCGGGTGATGGGCGCGGGGGATGCCTCTGCTTTTAATATATTTAGTGCTCATTTGATGACAGGACAAGATGAGATGAAAGGACAGGAAGGGAAAGGATAGAAGAGAGAGGAAGGCGGAAGTGTAATGCTCAGCCAGCTAATGGAGGACGTTGATAGAGAAAGGGGCGGTGGTGGGGGCCAGCAAGCAACAGTCAGTGCCTGCTGAGGCGGAAAATTCAATTTGATGCGGCGGCGGAGGCTAAGTTGCACTAGCAGCGGCGATTGTCACTTATTATATTTAAATATTATACTGCCTACTTTCTATTTACTCAGTTGCTGCCCCCCCCCCCTGCTTCTGTTGAAAGTTGATATCGCCGTTATTTTTAGCCAGGGGACAGTCTTTCGGCGTTGTTTGGTCTTGTTAGAAGTGAGGAGGGGGCAAAGCGGTCCAATTTAATGGCACTTTGGGTGCTTCCTCATCCTCGGTGAACTAGCAGCAGCAGCAGCAGCAGCAGTGAATTGTTGCCGTTATTATTGTCGTTATTATCACTTTGGACGGCAGCAGCAGCAGCAGCAGCAGAAGGGGAGTTGCGAAATGCACTGTATACAGCATTGACTTGCAATTTTGCAGTTAAGTGCCTTTTTGGTTCTTGATGATAAGTTGACTGCTGATGCCCATGATGCTGCTACTGGTAACACTCTCTTGGGAGTCAGCTGACCTACATCTTACTTTTCTTCGTCGTCTCTCCTCGCAATCTCGGGTATAATGTGCTCCTCTTTTTTTGCCTTGATTTAAACTGAGAGAATTGGAGTATATTGGTTCGTGTGAGTTTTCCCTTGCTCAGAGTTCATTTTGCTTCTGTCAATCTCTTCAAATTCAACATTACAATTCTGGTTTTAATTAACAACTGTTTTCCTTCTTCTCCCCCTTTCCCTGTGCAGGTATGCCGCGACATCTGGCCCTCGGCGCAGATGGAGAAGGCGCACTTTCTGGTGGTCAACCTGGGCCTGCAGTACCTCATTCCCCTCTCGGTGATTGCCCTCTTCTACATTCTCATCCTGAAGAAGATCGCCCAGCGGAAGCTGCCCAAGCTGGCCCGCCAGCTGCCCGCCACGCTGAAGGACGGCAACCGCCAGTCCTCGCTGGTGATCGAGCGCAGCAAGGTGAAGGTCTTCAAGATGCTCATCGCCCTGGTCCTCCTCTTCGCCCTCAGCTGGCTGCCCCTCTACATTCTCTTCTTCATCATCAAGATGGGCGGGCCGCAGCTGGCCGCCGGCGAGGAGCACTCCCTCGCCAGTCAGATCCTCGACACCGCCGTCCCCGTCGCCCAGTGGCTGGGCGCCTCCAACAGGTAAGGGGAAGCGATTGTTTGTCGATAAAACCATTTTCTGATTGTGGAACACTTTTTCACTCATTTCTGACACAGTTGCTGCAACCCGGTGCTGTACTTCTTCTTCAACGCCAAGTTTCGCAACTACTACCGCAGTAGCTGGCTGAAAACGTTTGGCTGCTTCTCCGCCTCCTTCTCCGCAGCTGGTCGTGGTGGTGGTGGTGGAGGTGGAGGAGGAGGAGGAGGAGGAGATCTCTGATCTAAAGGATTGAGACAAGGTCGAAAATGGACAGGTGGTGATTGTGGACTGAATGCTACTGCCTTGGTTACAGTTTCAAGTATTAACAAAACTTGTCAGTTGTTTTAACCNAGGAGGAGATCTCTGATCTAAAGGATTGAGACAAGGTCGAAAATGGACAGATGGTGTTTGTGGACTGAATGCTACTGCCTTGGTTACAGTTTCAAGTATTAACAAAACTTGTCAGTTGTTTTAACCGTTTGAACTTGTTTGTTTGTTTGTTTGTTTGTTTATCCACAGTGTTCCCCTCCCCTACTCTGATTCTCTTGTACACGCAAATCTGGTACAACCGAATCTCTTGCTATATATAGCCTGACCAAAGATACAAATAAAAATAATAAAAACTGTTAAATACAAATTAAAAACCTGATTTGAACCTTTCAAAATGATCCTACTTTGTTACAGGCATGTTTCGAGTACGTTTCCCAAGCTCATCCAAAAGACACTAGATGGCAAGAGGGGCTTCACAGTTTTTGATAGAATATTTTTTGGGTAATTGTAGCCCTCTACGTCATTAGCATTACAACAGGCAAGAGAACTTTGCCAAAATAAACTACAAGGGACATTTTGATGTAATTTTAATGTAAAAAATGAGAGTACTTTTTTATTTAGTAAGCAGTTATCATCAAACTTTAAAAGCATCAACTTTGGAGGATTAAAATGGTGGTGATCAGGATTGATGTTATCAGCTTTACCAGTTTTTCGTATGTACATTTTACTGTTTGGCAGTTTGGGGGCTTTTTTACTTCTTGCTTCCGCCCTTCTTTCCCTTTGAGCCGCTCTTCTTGCCGGACTTTGACTTCGAGCCTGACTTCTTTGACTTCTTCGACTGGTTGGTGCCCTTCTTCGACTTCTTGCTGGAGGTTTTGGCAGACTTCTTGCTCTTTTTCGCCTTCTTAGAGCCGGCTGAACTTTTGGCTGAAGTCTCCTTGGCGGCGG